CCTTGATCGGGGAATGTGACTAGGGAAGGCCATTTTGCGACATCTTTAAGCAAGACTCGGGTTTTTGAGAGGGGTTCAATTTTTGTAGTTTTGAAATAGCAAAAGAGAGCCTTAGAGAGAGAAAGTGACGAAGAACAACTTTGGGAAAGGATTGGAGTTATTTAAGGTTATTAGAGCTCGATCCTTCACCCTCATATTGCTGATTTATCACCTGGAGAAGAATTCCATCTTGCCGACGATCCATTTCTACTTCCAGCTTTGTGTTTTCCCTTCTCTTCATTCTTCGCTCGTGAGATACAAGTGAGCCTATTAACTCACTCACTGGTATCTTTGCCAAATCTTTGATTTCTTCTATTGCATAAAAAATATGATCATACAAAATAGGAACGCGATCCCTGTCAACAACATCGGCAACCAAGTCCCTACAGGTTTTAATTTTCTCTATCACTATGGCTTGTAGGCCACTACCTACCATGGCAAGTGCCGACATCCCTACATATTTTAAATGAATGGCTATTTGCTGTCCGTTGTTTTACTATTTGCCGCCCATAGTTAGGAAAAAAAGACTATTTTACCCCTACCCCTAACCCTATCTATCCACCCCACCCCCACCCCCAACCTCCTGCCAACATCCCACCTGCTCCGCCCTCCCACCCCCCAACCTCCTGCTGACCGTCACCGCCGACGACCGACCACCACCGCCGACGACCCTTCCTCCTCCCTCCTGCCAACCTCCCGCCGCCAACCGAGCAGGAGAGGTCCGCCGCCGACCGAAGAGGACGCAGCAGCCGCCGACCTCGCCGAAGTCTCCAGGTAACTTTTTTTTTATTTTTTTCTCGCCGCCGTCCGACCAGCCGGAGCAGACGCCGTCCGACACGCCGGAGCGGACGTGGTCCTTCTGGTCTGGTCGGACCCCGTCCGCCCGGTCTGGTCGGACCCCGCCCGCCCGGTCTGGTCGGACCGGTCTGATTGGGTTTCTGATTCGATTTGAATGGTTCGGTTTAAAAAAATATTTATTACATTTATTTTAAATACAATTGTTAGTATATTAATTACTTTAATATTGATAGTTGATTAATTAGTATATAATTGTTTATTAATTATATAATGTGTTAGTTTATTAATTGTGTAAGTTGAAATAATTAGTATATAATTTTTAATTAATTATATAATGTGTTAGTAATTAGTATATAATTGTTAATTAATTATATAATGTGTTAGTTTATTAATTGGGTAAGTTGAAATAATTAATTTAATAACTATCTATCGTATTTAGTAAAGTAACTATCTAGTTAAATTAATTAGATAACCAAGTTGTATGTATCATAATTAGTAATTGATAAATTATGACTATGAAGAAATTGCTAATCTAATAATTATTGGATTAAATAATTATTGTAAATAATTGCTAATTTTAAATAATTATCTATGATGTTTTAGTTAAGTAATTGAGTAAGTTGAAATAAATATTTAAATAACTACCTATCGTATTAAGTAAAATAACTATCTAGTTAAATTAATTAGATAACCAAATTGTATGTTTCATAATTACTCTATGAAACAACAAGTAATTGCTCAACAAATAATTTATTATAAGATATTAATAGAAAATTATTGACTATGTTTAGAGATGGCGTCACTTGACAATTCTGGAGGATCACGTAGTTCTAGAGGAGCTGGAAAGAGATTGAGAAGATTCCTTGGGCGTAACATTAGCGCTAGTGCGAGAAATAGGGGCCCAAATGATAGAGATGAGCCACAGCGACAGCCACAGGTGACACCGATGAGATTTAGGGCAGACGGTTTCCCGCAGTTTGATTTTAAGTTGCCTAGTATGGCTGGTAGTGGAGCTGGTCCTAGTATTGATCATCATACTTCACTGATTGAGCCTTCAGACGAGATTGACGACGATTCGGAGGAGTATGAGTCGGATGCTGTTGAGTATCGGATTCCACGAGTCAGTCCGATCAGAGACAGAGGTGTCCCAAGCGGATCGTCACATGTCGTTACTGGGGTTCATGCTGTTACCGGGATCTATAGAGACCATGCAGGGCGTTTCTATAGAGCTCCACAGCCTGGTGAGGGCCAGAGTGGTACTGCTGATGTGAGAGAGGCCTAGGAGCTTAGAGGACCGTGTCCTGAAGGGCCGAGCGACCCGAGTTTGCTCCGTAGCTTTCTTGGGCATGTTGCCCACCGTCTGTACACGGGAGAGGCTGATAGAGGGGTGATCACTTGCTACGACAGGAGTTCGACCCTCCACCACGTTCTCAGCGGCTATGAGATAGCAGATGATAACGCTAGGACTACCGTAGAGACATCGGGCCTTGCTCACCTCGTTGATATCACCTTCCAGAGCGAGTTGGATCCTGCTCTCATCTCGGCATTTGTGGAGAGGTGGCAGCCGGATACAAACTCCTTCCACATGCCGTTTGGAGAGATGACGATCCTCCTTCACGACGTGGCACACATTCTTGGACTTGCGGTTGATGGAGAGGCGATGGTAGTGGATCCGAGGCAGTTGGAGAAGTGTGCACTGGAGACTGACATCCGAGCACTACTGGGATTAGATCGTGACGAGGATGAGTACGGGGCGCAGGTTGGCGAGGTTGCTAGTCTGTCTAGGTGGTACAGAGGATTTGGTTTGTTGGGTGAGGGAGCTTTGACTCATTTGCAGCAGTCTGGTCCGCCATCTAGAGAGGCTCAGTGTTACGTTCTTTTGCTGCTTGGGTCCACACTGTTCGTAGATAAGAGTAAGGACCGCGTTTCTGCTGTTGTCAACTTGTTTGTAAAGAGGCCGGATATGCTAGGAGAGTACGCGTGGGGGGCAGGAGCACTTGCTTATCTCTACAGGCAGCTTGGTATTGCCTCGCGGGCGGAGGCTAAGGGAGTGGCGGGTTGTCTGACTTTACTACAGTGTTGGATTTACGACCACTTTCCTACTTTGAGACCTAGTCGGTTCGAGCCACGAGAGCTGGAGTGGGGGCAGGCAGGAGCATTCTGGTGGCGCGGTACAGCACCCCGGTCGAGTAAGAAGAGGGATGCACAGATGCTGGCTTATTATCGGCAGGCGATTGCTAGTTTGACCCCTCAGTCAGTTTGTTGGAATCCGTATGGTCAGCGTCCTCATCTGACGGCGAGACGTACCTTGTATCAGGGCCTGCTCAGATTTGCAGAGATAGTAGAATATTATGATCCTACTAGGTGCCTCCGCCAGTTAGGCTACGTGCAGTGTGTACCGTATCGCCCGGAGCCTCCGCTTGTTATGCGTCGACCTGCTTCCACGCTTGGATACTCGCTTAGCTACCAGTCGCACCTTGATGGATATTGGAACAACTTGGGGGCGCATAGTGTGCATCTGGACTATTATTCTACTCCGATACGACGTAGGCCATGGGAGGTTGCTAATGATTACATGGGTTAGTACAATCATATTTGAAATTATTTGTATTAAGTTAAAAAAAATGTTTTGATTGTAACTAACATGTTTTTAAATTGTATGGTTTTTGTTTACAGTTGTCACGCGAGATGTGGATTGAGATATCTCCCGTGATGGATGCTGCACAGGGTAGTAGGGAGGAGTGGATGACTAGCGCCAACGAGTACTACGACTTATGTCATGGAGTTGGGAACATGTGGCCCGAGTTTAGGAGGAAGTCGGGTTTTCTACCACCTCCACAGTAGTTGTATGATTATTATGGGCTTAATTGCAAGTTTGGTCACTCGAATTGCTATAAAATTTTACGTTTGTCACTCAAATTAATTTATTCCATCCGTAGTCACTTAAATTAGGTTAACAGTTCAAATTTGGTCACTCACCGTTAGTCTCCGTTAACTTTTGCTGATGTGGCGGTCAACTCTCACCGTTGACCGTTAAGTGAGTGACGTAGCAATTAAAAAATAAAAAATAATCTATTAACAATTTCCACATCACTATAAAAATAAGTTAAAATAAATAAAAAATAATAGCATCCTTCGCTCCTTCCCTAACCTCCGGCCAGCTCTACATATACGCACATCACTTCTTTTCCCAAACACCATCCGATTCGTACTCCACTACGCCGTCGCCCATGCTCCACCAGTACCATCCACAACTCCCTCACCCTTCTCCGCTGCCATAACTTGGGCCGTCCCCATTAAATACTTTTGAACCCTTCCATTTCCTATCCTCCGACCAAATCGAGCAGTCGTCGCCAACCACGGAACCAAACCCCCTGCCGCCATGACCCAATACGAACGTCGTCGACCCCTGCGACCCAAACCCAACGCCCAACGACTCTATTTCCACTCCTCTGCTTGAGTCCCATGTTCTGTGGGCTGGCAGGGTGTGCGTATTCTATACGCTCTTGAAGATCGGTTTAGCTAGATCCAGGCGAACCCAATTGTCTCTGGTATAATTTCAATCGAGGGTTTATTTTTCTTTTTCTTGCTTTTGATGTTCTTAGTTTGGGACATAGATCAATGGGTTTCGGTTTAATTAGTTTAGAGTTGGATGGTGTGGAGCAGAGTGCTGGCGACGAGAGCGAAGTTGATATTGCTGGAGCTGGTGATTTGGGGTTCCCAAAGCGGATTGAGTCTATTCAAGGTTAACGGAGGTTAACAGAGAGTGACCGAACTTGAACTGTTCAACTAATTCGAGTGACTATAAATGGAATAAATTAATTTGAGTGGCAAACGTGAAATTTTATAGCAATTCGAGTGACCAAACTTGCAATTAAGCCGATTATTATGTCATATGTATGAGTGTTATTTGTTGTTTTTAGACGAGTTGACTTATGTGTTCTACTACGACTTATGTTATGTGGTGTTCAGTTGCTTATTTGTTGTTTTGGGACTATGACTTATGTTATTTGTTGTATCTGATTATGACTTATGTGGTTTATGTTGTACTTTGGATGTTTTTATTATATCATGCTTCCATGTGACGTAAACAAACTTCATTACAATTTATTTAAATTGAAGACGTTCATTACAATTTATTTATGAGTCGGACGAGTACAAATTTATTTCTTTGGAACCCTATTTTTGCGTGATGGAAAGTTATTCGCACCACCCCCAAGATCGAACCACATTTGACTAAACGGCGCGAAATATGTCTCCCATCCATCCACGCTTTCTTGGTGACCGCCTGACCACATGCCATGTAGAGGGGGCAACGGTATCTTGTCCGCCGGGAAAGAGAGATTGATCCAATGATCCTGGACAAAATGCAGAACAATGACTCCTCTAGGGTGGGTTTCCCCATATATGTTGTCCACTGGCAGAATGGTACTGTTGTACAATTGTGGTACTGGGTAGAGGTAACAGCTGTACATGACAACGGCCAAATTAAATAGTGTGGCAAATACGAATAGATCCACACCCATCATCCAATGATGTTGAGTCATTGGTGCTGTAGTAGCGATGTCAATGCGTCTGATTGCTTCATTGATCCCTTCACCAAAGATGGGTGCGTATCGCCAATCGTGCTCACGCATTTCTTCAGCAAGTCTTTGCCTCACCTCTGGGAACCCTTCTTGTTTACCATATAGCGCAAAACTAAGTGCACGAAACCCACAATGACCGTCTGGCACCGGGTCGTGGATGGCAATGACAAGCGGTCGAATGAAGACAGGAAGCAGTTCCATGTGTGCGTAATCAGAATGGGTGCTGCTGGTTCCAGGGATCTCTGTGAAGGAAATAGATAATCAGCACAAATTCGACGTAAAATATTAATATAAATAACTACACTAATGAAAATTTTAAATTGTACCTGTGTCAGGACAGTTGTATTTGTTGTTTTCTTCGGGATCGTCGCACTCCTCCGCTGCATGGTCGTCTGACGGGTACTCGTCTGTCTGAGTCCCCGTGGACTTGGTACTGATCGACTTTGTAGACCCCGACATTGTGCTTACCGACTTCTTTTTCATGTCTTTCTTCTTGCCTCGCAATATCTTTTCCCACCACCCTTTATTTCTTCCGGTTGATTTTTTGGTTGGGCGTCCCTTTCGTGATTCGTTCACTTCTGGCTCGTGAATGTTGTCTTCCGCCGGGTGGAGATCGCGAAAAACATTCTTTGCATCTTTTTTCGTTGCCTCTGGTCCTCTGCGTACAGCCTCATCAACCAACTCCTGAATGTGACATTTAGCCTCCTCCTCCTGGGGAACGTACTCCTGAGCATTGGGTGGATGCTCGTATGACAGTGTCTGCCAATATATATGAATATCACCGGGGTATATCTCTATGTCTCGCGCCCTGCCATTCATAACTTGACATCCACACCTCAAGCCATGTGTCACAGAGAAATGACATGCACATCGGGAGTTCTCATTTTTTTTCCAAGCGGGCAGCCAATTCTTCTTCAGCCTCCTTCATTAATATAATTGCCTGCATGCTGAACTTCCTTCTCAAGTATGTGAATGGTGTACCACCGGATGCTGAAAGGGTTTTCTGTCTAGAGTTTTCCAACATCATCCTAACCTCCCCGAGTTGGTTAGTAATGTAGCGGTGGTTTCCTTTCCATACAGTGTCCATAGATCCCCGCGAGTTGTGGAGGAAAGTTTTCAAAGCGGAATGTGACGACTCAACCCTGTTTGTGCTCGTATTTCCTAGATGAAACACATTTTTTGTATGACAAACAGCCCACTTTTCTCGATGTTGCCACCACACTCCCTGTATGTATTGCAACAGACGTGGTTCGTAATTGCCCCATCTTGTCCTAAAGCGGCCAAACGCGGCCAACATACCTTGCTCTGACCAAGAATAAAGCATAGGACACCAATATTGATCGTACGCCTCGTTGACCAAATCCATCCTGTCCTTCCCAAATATTTCCAAACACTTCTTCTGCACATTCGTGTTGATGTGCCAAACACATAGCAAATGCGGGGTGCGGGGGAAGACCACGGGAACCGTAGCAAGTAGTCCACCTTCGTGGTCGGTGACGATGACACTGGGCACACGTGGATGGAGCAATTGTTGTATGCACTGCAACAGCCAAAGATACGACTCTTTTGTCTCATCCTTCATGAGAGCACAATAGATGTTGAAATTCTTCCCAACTAGAGTAGCACCTACGTCCTCCACCCACGGCCATTTATATGCATTGGTCTTATACGTTGAGTCGATCAGAATCACGTACGGCCAAGCCTTCAACATCTGGATGGAAGTTGGATGGGCAAAAAAAAGATGTGTCAGCACGTCGTCATCGTCCTTCATAACCTCTGTATTATAATTCTCACGTTCAGCTGCTAGCAACGCATACTGCACTGCATTCATCTCGCCCATCTCGTCTTTCCTAGACTTGGACCCGAGGTTATACATCTGCCTTTGGGTGTGATGCCCTTTGTCACCCTTCTGCTTGTTTATTGTCTGCTTCCGTTGCGACGGAGGTACCTCAGCATCTCTCATCTGCCTCAGAGATTCTTTATCCTCCTGACTCAATTGATTCATTTGACTGTGGACCTCGGGATAAAGCATCTTCTCATGATTGTGATACCCTCGCCTTAAACCGGTTCCTTGCTCCGTCACTCCTTGTATCTCCCAGAATGAAGGTCCATCAAGAGCATCTGGATTAACCAGTAGTTCTTTGATTTTAATCTTGAACATGCACCCCGATCCTTTTGAACTTGTATTGCCACGACTCTCCTTGGAAGGATCCGGCTTGTATGACTTCCTCTCCCTACTGCATCTGTCGCAATACATATAACAGATACCCAATAATCTTTTGTTGCTCAACTCACGTGGCTTCATTGATCCCTTAGTTAGAAGAAACCAAGAGACATCGTGATGTTTTTGGTAACTGTTACAGCATCTTCGAAATTGTCGTATCGGACGCCATTGAGAAAATGGTCTGTGTAATCACCAATTAGTTCAACATTGTAATCCATGTCCACCTGCAATTATGATTTTACAACTCGTTAGAAATGTACAAAATTAAACTAAATACAATAATTTAATTAAGTCTAAAAAATAATGATAATTTAAATATAAATTATTAAACCAAATTAGCTCTACGAATTAAATCTAAACACAATAAACTAATTTGCGCTACAACAAAACACAATCACTTAATTAAACTAATTGTGCTTCAATTGACTCTACAAAATTAAACTTAATGCAATAATTTAATTAACTCTAAAAAATAATGATAATTTTACAATAAGAAAATTATTCAAATATAAATTATTAAACATCTTTAGCTCTACGAATTATATCTAAACACAATAAACTAATTAGCGCTACAACAAAACACAATCACTTAATTAAACTAATTGTGCTTCAATTGACTCTACAAAATTAAACAACATGCAATAATTTAATTACCTCTACAAAATAACAATAATTTGACAGTAAGAAACTAATTAGCGCTACAACAAAATACAATCTCTTAATTCAAACTACATATGAATTTAACTATGTAAAATAGAAATAAAAGCAATAATTTAAATATAAATGATTAGCTCTAGAAATAATAACCTGTCTCAAATTAATAAAAAATATATAACACTGCCGACTCCAACGCATCAGGTCGCCGGCGTCGGTCCCCGTCCACTCGCCAGCGTCGGACCCCGTCCGCTCGCCGGCGTCGGACGCGTCCGACGCTGGCGAGTGGACGGGGACCGACGACGGCGAGCGGACGGGGTCCTTTCTCGGCGAGCGGACGGGGACCGCCTCCGGCGAGCGGACGGGCAAAAACTTCCAGGAGGGGAGTGGGGTTTACCTGCTTCGCTGGTCCGACGATGGGGTACGGCTGGCGTCCAGTGCCCGGCGAATTATGCTGACGAGATTGGTCCGGTGGCCGGCGACTTAGGCTGTCGTCCGGTGGCCGTGAATCTGGCTGTGGTGTTTGTGGGGAGTTGGTGGTCGGGACTCGGGTAGTGTGTAAGTTGTTTAAAAAACCATTTCAGCGAATAGAATATAAAGAAAAATTTGGAGGGCAAAATTGTCTTTTTAGTATTTTTTACGGGCGGCAAATAGTAATTACTCGGGCGACAAATAGTAACCCTCTATTTTAATTATACTGAGCTTAACCAGGTTGACTTTTTCCACCAAGTTGATTACCCAACTAGGTGACTATTGTTAACCCCAATGGGGTCATTTCAGTCACTAGGTCAAGGATCGGATCTCAAGAAGCTGTACAAATTCGATTCCCTCAACAGAATTGCACGGGGCATTCCTTCTTATTACACTCGGATTTTTTCCTACCATGTGTTGTGGCAAATATCAGGTGTAGTAAGTAACAATGTGGACGCTACAAATGTCTCATTTGAGAAATTCGACGCAGTTTGATTGATTAAAGATCCATCATGAGAGACTGTATATAATGATCAAGTTTGATTGTTCAAGTTTTAGCTTCATTGTTCATAATCATATATATATATGTCATGTGATAACTAGTTGTTTCTTGCCAAATTGACAATAGTTTATACTCAGACCATAGTTGGCAAGAAACAACTAGTTATCACATGACACGTCCTTCTCTTCGGCTTTACTATTATTGCATATATCATATATGGCTTTCATGAGTTTTTCCAGACCTTCCCTACATTAAACTTGTGGTGAATGCTAGCCAATCTAAGACCGATACGAAACCCATCAAAGTAAATGTATTAAAATATATGGCCTACCAAAAGTCACTTATTTTATAAAAATTGTGTTTACGTGATTTGATTAACCAGTACAACAAAAATTAGTTTTCCAACGAAATGTTTTACAAACAAGTGAACAACGTAATTTTGGTTGTGAAAAACTTAGTATTTGTAATTAATTGTATTTTGGAAGCTAAACTATTATTGGTTTTCATTAAAAATGAAACATGTTATTTTTATTGGTTGTTGGGCTCACTAATTGAATCCATAGTGTGGTGGATGTTGTCGTCTCCACATTACCACTTAGGTCACCCACTTAAGGCAAAAAATCAATGTTTTATCAGAGAGGTGCAGCCCATTTGTTGGAGAGGTGTATTGCCACACGAGAGATCGTGTGTTCGATCCCCCTTTTGCCGATTGGTATGCTACTCGAATAGCACACTTCTGATGAATGACCCGGTCGATGGTCAGCGATCCTGAGTTTAACTTACCTACGACATCACCCATGTACGTACGTGGATAAGGATTTTTGTCATAGAAAATCAAACTTTTGATAACCAAATAAAATTTGAAAAGCTCATTCATTTTAATTGATTCAACATTTCAACATAGTTACATCCATATTTAGACTAATAATTATTGTCCAACTCTTAATTTGTTAAGAAACAAGGATCAAGAAGTATATTAATGGTGGGTATGACCGAAAAGGGGAATTGACAATGAAGAAAAAGCTAACCTTGTAAAATTTTAAAAGCCCTTCATATAAAGTCCCAACAATTGGGGATTGCGCAATCTGACCCTTCCAGTAGTTAATTAATATTTAAAGCTGAAGTTAAGTTACAGTTGCCTAACAATTTGTATTTTGATATCACAAATTTAATTAAATTACAACTTAGTTAGTATAATGTAAATTTTACATTTTGATACCCAAAATTTAATTTTAATATAAAATCATTGAACAATTATGTTTTGGTATCTAAATTTTATGAGATTTTCGTACCTATACTTTTTTAAATTTACATATTAGTTCAATATTTAGATTTCACTTGAATCCTTGAATCCAATCCACCAATCCTTTTGAACCAATCCATGAATCTAATCCACCATAACATAAAAGTATAAATTTAGTTTATACAATACAAGATATTGTATCACTCAACTGTATGAGAAGATTCGACCATTTTATATTTGTTCATTACATGAAACATTAAATAAATGATAAAAGAGATACGACTCTAAAATATTGTAAGAGGGAATTTATAAACTCACAAAAGATCTGTTCGGATTTCTTGTGGCATGGAGAGGAATCTGGAAGGGCAAAGGTGGCGTGGGAGAGGATTTCTCGACCGAAGAAGGAAGGGGGACTGGGCGTACGTGACTTATTTACATGGAACAGAGCATGCACTGCTAGGATGCTCTAGCTCTTCTTGATGTGCTCAGGAGTCCTATGTGTGGCTTGGATGTTGGCATACAGGTGCAGGGGAAGACTTTTGGACTATGGCAGTTACGGCTTCTAGTTCTTAGACTTGGCGTAGAATTATGAAGCTTCGACCATAGTTTCAGCCTTTAATGGGTGTGCAGAACAGTGAGGGGACTTGGCAAGGAAGAAGGATGCTACTGTACTCAGTTCGAGAGGTCTGGAAAACTCTGAGGCCTGTTCACAACCGAGTTAAGTG